TCTTTCATACAAATCACTTTAAATCAGTAGAGTTTACCCTAATGCCAGTTTTAATATGGCTTTGTTTTGTCCCAAGTTAGTGAAACAGAAATTCTTTATGGTTTTGTGTGTGGACTCAACTGTATTAGGCACTCAAATACAGGACTGATAACCATATTCTGCTGCTGTGTGAATATAGCTTGTGGCTCTTCGCTGTGACAGGTGTGGGACACTGAACTGGAGAGGAGCGCTGAGCACTGGGCACACACTTGTCTGTGGGAACATGGACCATCTCACCTACTGACCCGGATCGGCCAGAACCTGGGAGCTCACTGGGGCAGGTGCTGTATTACAAATGGATAAAAACAATATTGATGTCACATCAAATATCAATTGCATCTCATTGAGTTCTTATACAGTGCACTAATACAGTTTGCTTTAAATATGATTGTCTTTAGAGACAGACCTCCGACATTTCATGTCCAAGCCTGGTATGATGAGGTGAGAGATTTCAGCTACCCCTATCCACAAGAGTGTAACCCTCACTGCCCCTACAGATGCTCTGGACCAGTCTGCACGCATTACACACAGGTAAACCCACATTCACGTTTTAACAATTTACATTTTGCGATGATACAAGCAATCAGTTGAGATATGCTATATAGTAATAGCGATATTATGATTTGTTCACAGCTGGTTTGGGCCACAACCAACAAAATTGGCTGTGCCATCAATGTGTGCTATAACATGAATGTATGGGGGATGATATGGACCAAAGCTGTGTACCTGGTCTGCAATTACTCTCCCCCGTAAGAATGTTAAGCTTTTTTTGTAATTTGCAGTGTGATATAATTCTAATAAAGCACTATTATTAGCTTTTGTCATGTGGCATCTATTTCACAGAGGTAACTGGTGGGGACATGCACCATACAAGCACGGGACCCCTTGCTCTGCCTGCCCACCCAGCTATGGCGGCGGTTGCAGAAACAATCTCTGCTATAAAGGTACTAAACCATAGTATATAGACCAAATATTGAGATGACAAATTTGATTCATTATTATGACGTATTACACAGTTAATTTGATTAAAATATGTGTGACATCCCTAAACTAGATAAGAAAACAACATTTAGCTAACATGTGAAGGCTGTAGGTCCTGAATCATTTGAAAAATGTAATTAAATTGTGCTCTCTTCAGAT